TATATATATATATATATAGTTTTTCCTATATATGTATAATTGTGATATTATTGTACTATAAATATAGAAGTCACAACATATACATATATGTATATATAGGGTATCCCAGAATTAAATGAACAATTTCATGAATACGTAGAACAGATTGAGATAAACAAAAAAGTATTATATTAAAAAATATAAAAATATTAAATAATATAAAAGTAAATCATTTTGCAAACAATATGCAAAATTTCGAGTTGTTATATAAATTGTTTTAATTACCTCTCGTATATGTTCATCCACCATCCTCACAGTATCACCATCCAAACAATCAATGCCTGCAACTTGAATTTCAGCATCTTGTGAACCTATTTCTTCTTGGGAAACCACTTGCTCACCACCAGCCAAATCCATTTCATCCATCACTTGCATTGTATGTATAGTAGGTTCTGCAGTCTCATGAGCTACAGTCGAATGACTTTGTACATCTTTAATATTATTCTGTATATTGTTCAAATTACTTTGAATTGTACCCATATCATCTATATTAGCCAAGTTGTGCCCTGATATATGTACAACCTCTTCTTTTCCAATTTCCTTTAACATTTCCATAAATATTCCTTCTGTATGTAAGCATTTCTCACGAAAGTCAAACAACTGATCTAATTTAAACGCACATTCTTCACACACCACTTTGGGCAGCTGATCTGTCAGTGACACCTAAAATTTGTGAAAATATATAGTTTTCAAAGTATCATGTTTTATATTTTGAACAACTTTCAATAAAAATAATCTGTCCTGATTGTCTTTGCAAATGCCTTGCAAAAACCTCAATAATTTCTTCGTATTCTTATTTGAAATGACAATCTTAAAAATAAAATAGCAAGAGTTGAAACAATAAAAGTAATTCTTGAAACAAATAGATAAAAAGAAGCATAGCAGCTTCAATTCAAAGGCTAAATGATCGTTAATCAGAAACAATTGTCAAGAATAATATATTTGTGTCATGATAGATAGAAATATCAGTAAACCAGGGCCCGAATCAAATTTGAGCCACCAATATTGATTCGCGGATTAATATCGTATGGCCGTGTTGTATTTTACCTGAACTGGTAGGCAAGCTGCTATTTTCTTGTCAATGTTGCGCATTTGGTCGCCGGCCTCGAAAATCGGTAGACCCATCAAGATGTCAGTTTTAACCGCGCACAGACGGCATAGGTAATCAAACTCCTCCACAACGGCCATATCAACAGGACTATGAACGTATATCGTCTTTTTCTAGGTGCTAGCTAAGTACCGACACTGTTAACGGAAGAACCTCAGAAAATGAAGCGATCGAGATTTGTCAATTTCGCGACGCGCATCGCAAGTCCACGGCGTCTCACTTCTAGTGCTTGCGAATGTCAACGAAGCGACGAAGCATCCTTACAAGATAATTGTTAAGCCAGCCTGTATCATCCATACCGTTGGCAATGGATTCTCGCGGTCGGCCACCGATCGCCTCGGGGATAAGCGAAGTCTCTCTCTCTCTCTCTCTGAATATTAGCTCTAGGCACTCAAGAAGGGGTAAACGATGGGGAAGAATCAGTTGGCCAAAGTAGGGATGAGCGATAATCGATCGGTAAATCGATACTCGATTTGTTGTTGAGTCCTCTCGATGTTTTCAAAAGCTATACTCCAATCATCGAATAAAGAGTGAGTCTTGTGCGAGTCGCTGACGAGTATGGACATGTTTGTTCGGTGCACGGGCCCTTTGTTCGTTTAGAACCCAACTATTTTTGGACAAAGTCGTTGGTGCCTCGGCAAAACGCATTTCGGAATCCTAATATTTCACATTAATACTCTTCAATTTCATTCTACATAAGTTCATTCTCTAATTCTTATCTGACACCAACTAATCAATTTAATTTCCGTTCTCTTCTGGATCCTCTTTAACTTTTTGTGTCCTTTCGTGAAAGATCCTCTTAATGGATTCCTGAAACCGATATTGAGAGAGAGAGAGAGAGAGAGAGAGAGATTGAATAAAGAATAGAAAGGAGCGTAAAGAGAAAATCCTTTGTTAGAAGTGCAAAGGATGTGACATATTGGGGTGTGTTCCAAAAATCAACTTTGGTTACTACGGTTACTTTAGGTACCCGTTCCAAATTACCAATATGGCTGGTTGGTTAACCAATGATAATCGTTCCAAAATGCACAGTTAGTTATCTATGTGGGTAACTTTCTGATCTCGCAAAATTGAAAGGTTGTGATGGTTACCACCATACAAAATGCGGTAAAAATACGTAATGTACGAACTGGATTTATATAACTGGACTTGGTCCTATAGATCTGGAACAATAAAAATAGTCAAAAATTTACACATACATAAGCAAATTGATATTAAACAAATAGGTAAAATGTTGCAGTGAAATTTATTGACTATTGACTACCTAATTTATTCTCTAAATTATCAAAAACTGTGGAATTCATTCAAAAATATTCTTTTAATTGTTTTTCGGTAAGCTGTAGTATTATATTTTTCATATAACCTTCAATACGAACTGCTTTTTTAACTTCGCCATGAATTTTCATATTTCCTTCTAAATTCATGAGTTCCTGCAAACTTTTCTTCATTCTCATTATCGCTATCACTTTCCACGATTGTCATGACACTTACTAAATATCTGCTTGTACAATTACTTGTCATTCTTATCGCCATAATTGCAACCACCAAACGCGTTCCGAAACAATTCCTATCTCAGATAATCTATATCTCTTCCATAGTACCTCCGAGGTTGACCAAATTTTTGAATGCACCCTTCTTCTTCTTTCAACAATAGCTCCTGGCATTCAAAAAAGCGTGTATTCCAACACCACTCAAAGTAAAAAAGATGTGGATTAGAATGTGTAGAAATGCATAGTATATAAAATGAAATTAATATATAGTGTGTATGATGAAATTTCAGTATTGGTTCCAGGGGATTTAAAGGATATCCCCCCACATTACTCAACGAAAAGGATATCTAGGCCGGAATGTAATAGGACAAATATAGAAACTAATTAGTTTGTTTTAAAAAATTTAGAATAAATTTAATCCTTTGAAGCACACAATTTTCCTCCCACTTATTTTTCATGAAATTTGGTACCAGAGAGTTTCTGTAGTTGCTGATCACGAATCTGAAGTCAAAATAGACAAATTTTTTAAACATAATATGGCGGATCTTGTGACCGCTATCAACATGCCACAAGGATGAATTAAAAATGTCAAGATATTTTTATGATTTTATATTTATATTTATTTTATATTTAGTCATTTATTTAAATTTATGATCGGTAGGGTATATAATATTATAAATTATTAATAAATTTGCTCTATTTAGTTGCATATTACATTCATCGTTTTCATTTACAATGGGTTGTAATAGTGGTTGTATTACAACAAAATCCTCTCTTTGTCAGAAGAATCAAATAATTCCATGTGATGCGCCATATTGTTTATTGCACTCTGGCGTTTCAGCGGTGCAGCGAAAACGAATAGACCTCTTCATTGCATTTTTGCACTGAACTGAACTATTCTGTACTACTCTGTCCCAGTGCGGTTCAGTTTAGTTCAGTGTAGTTCTGGTGCAGTTTTAGTGTAGCGAAAAAAAAAACAGACCTCTAGTCTTTCCCAGTGCGGTTCAATTCAGTTCAGTGCAGTTCTAGTGCAGTTTTAGTGTAGCGAAAAAAAAACCTATATTCTTAGATGAGTCACAGTTTAACTAAAGTTTATCTCCTGACTCAGTGCAACAGTTCATTGAACTGCTTGCACTACATGCTGTTGCACTGCGAAAACGAACAACGTTGATGACGTCATGATGACGTCATTCTCGATAAAAAGAACGCATTAGTGTAAACTTTTTGCACTGGTGTGCACTAGTGCAGAAAGTGTTTCGAAAAAAAAACAGACCTATTGCACCAGTTCAGCAGTTCAGCTATAAAGATCAAACCATATGATTTTAAAGCTAGCGGCATGCAGTGTTTGTTTTCGTGCTGGATTGCATATTGGACAAAAATATTGCGTTCTAATTGGCGCATTTCCAAAAATGGATGGCAATACACCAATCAAAACGCAATATTTCCATCCAGCACGAAAACATGCATCGTGTGCTACTGGCTTAATATTCATTGCCAGTGGGTGGAGCATAAGGATGTGGTTTTTCATTGTGCACAGGCTTTTATCATTGGTGCACTGTGACGGGACATTTTCGTTTGATATTACGCCTGTGTTATATTAAATGCGAATTCGTCCGTGAATTCGTTATATATAAGGTGAAATTATTGCATAATTCAATTCTAACAGTTATTGAATTTAATAACGAAGCGGAAAAGTTTGTGAAATCAAAATATTAATAATATTTTGAAACTGAAATGGCATCCTAACCTTTTAATCTTTAAATGAACACATATGACTAAATGTTCGTTGTAAGAAAATTTTGTTTGGCTTTGATCGCATCAGAATTACCGATATTTCGAATGAAAACTTTTGCAAAGATTATACTCGTGATTCTTTAAAGATAATCATTTCGTTGCATTTTACATTGTAATTGAATTTAAGTGTTTACTAGATTATGTTTTTTATTAATTGTTTAATTGCAGATTTATGATACGTTATTGTTTAAAATACCAATGCAGTAGTAATTGCACGTTTTTACGAAAAATATATACGGAAAATATAAAAAATGATTTATAACATGTAAATATAGAATTCATGATATTCAATTGATATACATTTTTATAAGGACAATGAGCTATCACAAAGGTGGTGGTAACAAGCCAAAAGGTTTTGGCTTTGCTGGTTTTCAAATGGCTGGAACAAAAAGAAGTGGTACTAATATACCTCCACCTCCACCAAATTCTGCTTTGAGTAAACAAGGCTATCATACAATGTCTGCTATTACGGAAAATGCTTTATCTGCTTCTTGGGGCATGCCTAAGAAACGCAGTAAAACAGAAGAAGAGTAAGTATAATTTTGGATATAAATTATGATATGAAAAAGAGAGAAAAAGAGACAGAAAAAGAAAATGAATAAGTATATCTATGTAATGTGGTTATATATACAGAGTGTCAGAAAAAAATGTTATCACATTTTGATTGTTTATAAAATGTTTGTTAAGTGTTTATTAAATGTGCTTTCAATGTTTAATTGAAGTTAATAAAGTANCGTGCCTATATTTAAATATATAGTGATACGTTGTTACACACACACATACCTACATATAAATATATGTTCTATATATATATTCTGTACTATTCATATATATATATATATATTATACTACATATCTTAGCACAGAAGTGAATAGAAATTTATAAAGAATTTATTTTAAAGAATATGTACAGAATTAGAAAAATGAAATGTTGAAGAATTAGAAAAATATCTGAAGAATTGAAGAATTAACCACAATCAGTTTATCTGGAAGCATCCTCAGAAGTTCAGAAGTAATGAATACTTCAATATTTTGAGAATTTGTGAGGAATTATGAGTATTTGTTAAAATTGCTTCCTGTGGCAGTGTTTAGCAGATACTTGTGTTATTCTCAGTGCTTTGTGAGTGTCTCATCATAATTGGAACTTACTTCACAAATCAATGATATTCCAAAATAATAAAATAATAAAAAGAAAAGGGAACTAATAATATTTCATTGAATCGTGAGAATATGAATTGTTATGAAATGATTGAACTAGGTTTATTCTACAAATTGGTATTTTATAACCTAAAAATGTAACTGCATGTATGTCTATGGATAGATTCCATTTAACGCTCGCTACTATTCTGCACAAGTTTTTTTGTTTCTATTTAAGATCCGGGAGAAACCCTTGATAGAATGTTGCCAACGTTAAATTGAATCCTGTAAGATTCTTGTGTAATTTTGGATTTCTTTCTTTTATATAATTGAAAGCTGAATATGTTTTAATTATTTCAGTTGGAAAAAAACTATTTTTTACTAAACACCAACTAACACAGTAACGTTATATCAATATTATCAATTTCCCACATAAGAGTATAAGTATTATGTATAATATATGTGTAATAGTTATATTATTGAATGATAAATTATAATATTGATGTAATGCTATTTTAAAGCTTATTTAGAATTAATATTTATTAGGTATTTTATATTCTCTTTTCTGTTTATAAGCACTATTCCTCTTGAATTCATAAAGTATACATCTGTTGATACGAAGTAATTATATATGAATACTCTAAAAAATGTTTAGGAATTCTAATCATAATGGATGTAACTTCCGGACATAGTATTCTATGAATTTTTGAAAGATTACAATTTAGACAAGGAGAAAATTTTAGGGATGTTTGAAGAATTTATCATGTTATCTGGGATATAAATATAAAGTATTGATATGCAATTTTGTAATAACTATATAACATTTAATATTCATGTAATATTATGTTACTTGAAATCAGATATTTTGAGGATGATGATGAACCTCCAACTTCATTAGAATATATACCAGCACCTGGTTCTCCTACATATGATTTAATGAAGAAAGCAGTAAAAGATGAAAGTGATAGTGAAGAGGATCCTCTAGATGCTTTTATGGCAGGTATCGATGCTGAAGTAAAGCGAAATAATTCAGTGGCTCAATATGATATTGATCGTAAAGAAGATAAATCTAAGGGATTTCGGGCAGATATTGATGGAGAAGATGATGAAGAAAGTTATTATAGGTATAAAGTTAATAATATTATAGGTATAAAGTTAATAAATTTATCGAATAATACACGGTTTTGTTGAAGAAGAAGATGATGATGAAAGTTATATATGTTTTGCACATAAAAATTATGGTAAAAAGATATGGAAATGTTTAACTATTTCAATTTTGTTTTATTCTCTCAAGGTACATGGAGGAAAATCCCACTGCTGGTTTGCAACAAGAAGAGTCCGATCAAGAAATCGAATATGATGAAGACGGTAATCCTATTGCACCATCAAAGAAAAAGGAAATAGATCCATTACCTCCGATTGATCATAGCGAAATAAATTACGAACCATTTGAGAAAAATTTTTATAATGTGCATGAAGAAATTGCAAGTTTAAACAAGCAGCAAATTGACGATTTGAGAAAAACTCTGGGTATAAAAGTATCTGGACCATCACCGCCAAATCCGGTTACTAGCTTCGGCCATTTTGGGTTTGACGATGCACTTATAAAAGCTATTCGTAAAAATGAGTACACGCAACCGACGCCTATCCAAGTGCAAGCAGTGCCCGCTGCTTTAAGCGGACGAGATATAATAGGTATAGCGAAAACAGGTAGCGGTAAAACAGCCGCATTCATTTGGCCGATGTTAGTACATATCATGGATCAACGTGAATTGAAAGCTGGTGATGGGCCTATCGGTCTTATTCTGGCGCCGACGAGGGAGTTATCTCAACAGGTATCTTTATTTGTATTGTGTTTCTAAGTGTTATATAATAGCAGGGTTGGGAAGTAACGCGTTACTGTTACTTTTTTCCAGTAACGACTCAGTAAAGAAGTTACATTTTTTGGGTAACGATAACGAATATAACCGTTACTTTTATTGTTACTTTCAGATTGCACTCGGAAATGTTAAACTTTCAGTGACTGAAGTCACGAAAGCACATCGAAGATTGATGTTTCCGAATGCAGTCTGAGTGTTTCACAGCAGCTGATATCTAATAATGTGTACAATGTGCTGTGTTTCCGAACGCAGCATAATCTATTAATAATAGATATAGTAAGCTTTGAGCAGTGAAAAATTGAGCAATTTACCATGATCTAACAGCTGTGGGATTACTTATTCATATAAGTAACTTGCGAGTGATATTTAATGAGTTTACAGCTTTTTCGTAAAAGCGCACAAAAATTGTCGGAACTGTTTTCGACAGAGTCGTAAACGTAAGCTGTAATCGGATGTCAACGCATAAGGATAACGTAAACGTATGTCGCATCTATCGCATCGCCTCTAAGATCGAATGATAACGGTAGTTTTTTTTGCTTTAAACAAAAAAAAACAAAGTCTCTTCAATTCCAAACGGAGGAATTGCAGCAATTTTTAAAATCAGATCTTTGTAATATCGAAATGTTGAACGGCTACCTGAATATTAAAAAAATATTTTATCAAATATATATCACTTCTCTAAGCAGTGCACTGATAGAACAACTATATAGAATTGGAAATTTTGTATTAAGGCCACATAGAGAATGTCTTCCTGACAGTACGATAGAGCATCGACTCTTACTAAAAGTTAATAAGGAATTTTGATAAAATTCAACGAGTTTATATTTTTAATAAGAAACCATTAGAAGTATTACTTTTTAACTTAGAACTTATTTACTTATAATTTATACAGTAATTTATATACAGTTAAGTTTTAACTTGTTTTTTTTACTTTTTTTAACTTTAACTTTAACTTGTTTTTTTTTACTTTTTTTAACTTTAACAAATTATTTTTAATATATATACATATGGTTAAACTTGTATTAAATAAGTAACGGAAAAAGTAACGTTCGTTATTTTTCGAATAATGGTAACAAGAACGAGTTATTTTTCAAAATGAGTAATGGTAATGAGAACGAATTACTTTATTGAATCAGTAATGAGTAACGATAACGAGTTACTTTTAAAAAGTAACTTTCCCAATCCTATATAATAGAAATGTTCAAATAAAATTTATCACAAATATTGACAGATCTATCAAGAAGCGAAGAAATTTGGAAAAGTTTATAATATTCAAGTATGTTGCTGCTACGGCGGTGGCAGTAAATGGGAACAGAGCAAAGCATTAGAGAGCGGCGCAGAAATTGTAGTTGCTACTCCTGGTAGAATGATTGATCTTGTTAAGATGAAAGCAACGAATCTAATTAGAGTTACATTTTTGGTTTTAGACGAAGCTGACAGAATGTTTGACATGGGATTTGGTAGGCAAACGTACCTTAATATAGATTTATGCTGCAAATCTAAGTAAATACAGAGTGTTCTAGAAGGAAAAGTCAATATTCTTTGAAGTGATAGTATCGATTATTTTAAACAAAAATGTTCATATGAACATGTGTCCTGTTTGACCTTATTTCAGAGGTATTAGTGATTGAAAAGAGCCATATATAAAGTTTTCATTAACACGTTGCCTGCCACGGAACTTTGCACGATTCTGGTCTAAGAAGCCAATTTGATTTAATCAAGTAATGAAGCGACGAAATAACTCGTAGTTAGCGTCCTGGGCAAGTAAACAACCTACGAGATATCTCGTAGTTGGCAGTCAATGTGTTAATTACTTAAACGTGTTATTAACTTAAAAATTTGCATATTATTTGCAAAATGGTAAAGGACATTTTTATCCAGAGTAGCCTAATCTATAAATATATGACAGCTGTTGTTTTGCTTAAAATAACCGATACTATCACTTCCCACAGAATATTGACTTTTCCTTCTGGGACATCCTGTATATGAATAAATCGTAAAATCATAGATTACATTTACATAAACCGCAATTTTGTATCAGTATTTGCACTGCTCATCGTTATATATCTACAGTTATGACTAAGGATAGGGTCCACTAGATGTACTACTGTAAAATACTTCCACGCGTCATATGAACCAATAAGAATCTATTTTTAAGTCGTCTAACGAGTTTGTAGTTTCAAGTGGATCTTAACCTAATGAACTGTCATTTGAGAATTGCGAGTTAAAGAAAGGAGAAATTATAAGGTCAAACAATATCTCAGTGCAACATATAAACATATGTAGTTTCTAAAACGATAGATTATGGCCATTTTAATCAAATATTATTATATATTATTAATAATAATATATAATAAATAATTATATATTAATATCAAAACTATTATATATATTTTCTATATTATCTATTGAATTCTTCTTCTCCAATTAAACATCTAATATATAATATATTTATGTTTCGATTCATTAATATAATAACACTGGAAATGTTGGTAAGATTCACAAACCGTAACTTTATTGACAACTTCTAGCTAGCAGTAAGATTTACGAGGAATCGTAGATATTTATGACTTATTTTATGACATACAGTACGCATATAACTGCAGATCTATTCATAAATTCTTACAAGTTTTATAAGTGTTATGAATAACAAGTTATAAGTCTTACGATTCTATTTAGAATTACATCAATATTGTATCAATATCAAACCTTGCTGTGTCTTTCTTTTTTTCTTAGAACCTCAAGTACGATCTATATGCAATCATGTGAGACCCGACAGACAAATGTTGTTGTTTAGCGCAACATTCAAGAAAAGGGTAGAAAAGTTGGCCAGAGATGTTTTAATGGATCCTGTTAGGATAGTCCAAGGAGATGTTGGTGAAGCCAATACTGATGTAACGCAACACGTAATGATGTTTCACAATAATCCTGGAGGTAAATGGAACTGGTTGCTGCAAAACTTGGTTGAATTCTTAAGCACTGGCAGTCTATTGATTTTCGTTACTAAAAAGGTAAACATTTTATTAAAGTGCAATAATTAAAGTACAATAATGAAAGAATATGTAATCTAATGTTTTTCCCACGTTAGCTGAACGCGGAAGAACTTGCGAATAATTTAATACTAAAAGAATTTGACGTATTACTTCTACATGGTGATATGGATCAAATTGAGAGAAACAAAGTGATTACAGCTTTTAAGAAGAAGGATGTCAGTACTTTAGTTGCTACTGATGTGGCCGGTACTTAGCTTTTGACTTTATATTAATGCTAGGATTGTATGTGCAAACCTCATCACGTGGTTTTTCAGCGCGAGGTTTGGACATTCCACATATCAAGACTGTCGTAAATTATGACGTAGCGCGAGATATCGATACACATACACACAGAATAGGAAGAACAGGTCGTGCTGGTGAGAAAGGCACAGCATATACTCTCGTAACGGAAAAGGATAAGGAATTTGCTGGACATTTAGTGAGAAATTTAGAGGGAGCGAATCAAGAAGTGCCAAAGAGTTTAATGGATTTGGCCATGCAAAGCGCATGGTTTAGGAAGTCAAGGTTCAAAGGGGGGAAAGGGAAAAGTATAAATGTCGGTGGAGCCGGACTTGGTTTCAGAGGTAGACCCGATTCGTCGAGTTCGGTATGCATTGTACTTTATAAGCAAATATGAATAAACAGTACCTACAAATATCTATTTTTTTCGAATAATCGTGACAAGAATGTATTTTAGAGTGGATCGTCATCTCAAACATCCAAAGATATCAATGATGTTGTGAAAAAATTAGAAAGGCATGGACCTGGTAGCGATCGACTTTCTGCTATGAAAGCTGCTTTTCGAAGTCAATATAATTCTCAGGTAAGACAAACACAAAATGAATGCTTAAAAACGTTAAATAAATAAATGAGTAAAAAAAAAACTAATAACAAGGAGTGAAATTTACAAATACAAAATAACATTAAGATGTCCAAGGTAATATTAAGATGTCCTAAGATATCTAAAGAATGTCTTTGAAATGCCTGTCAGACATACATGTTTGGGGTCATATTAGCATATTCGATTTATTATAGTTTCGAGCGTCGTCGGATCACACGTGGGAACAAACAATCACTCCGCCTTCGGTAATAATGCCCCCACCGCCGACAATCCCATCATCAAAATCTACATTACAAGATAATCAAACCTCCAATTCTATGGGAACAGAGAAGAGTGAACGTAAAAGAGTGCGAAAAAGTCGGTGGGAATGATCAAATAAATGTATTATTGTGTATACTATATAGTAATTAGTATAACGCAATCGAAACAATAAAAACATATTTGTTTTGTATTACAATAAAATTTAATTTTACCAATTTGCATGAGCTTCGCAAATCGTCCGATTAAATGCAAACTTCCGCAATTATAAGCTCGTAAGCTCGTAGCTTATAGGATCGTAGTTTATAGCGTTTTTGATTTGCTGACTCGGCTCAACTTGGACAGTGTTCTGTTAATTGCTATAATATTGTAAACTGCAATGTGCATAATATGAACTATAGATCACAGAACTGCAAAGATGATCAGAACGCTGTTCGAGTCGGGTCGAGTCAGCAAATCGAAAACGTCATTATAGTTTTTTCAATGAATATTGGGGCCCGATTCTCGATTCTCGAGTTCGTGCGATTATGATATTATGACTTATTGATTCAACCCGACTTGAACAGCGTTCCAATAAATTTTGTATTGCAATCTGTACTTCAAGTTACGTATACTATAGTTTGCAATACTGTAACGATTAGTGGAACGGCCTGAGTCGAGTCGAGACAGCAAATCGAAAACGCCAATAGTTTCGTGTTACAAAAGCTAGAATCCACTTGATGCTGCAAGCGTTTTTAATTTATATATATTAATATTATATAATTAATAATTATTAATATATAATAATGTAGAAGCACTATAGTGCCGGCATTGACAAATCAAGATTTCAAATTTCAAATATCATATTCAGGTATCGCTCATTTCAGGTATCACTTATGTAAATAATCTTTCTTAAAAATATTTCTGTCGAAATGTCTGCAGTATAGGAAATAATTTAGTTAATTTAAATATAAAATTGAGCGCGAGCATGGCATGATAAACAGCGCACCGGTCTATCATGCTAGAGGTCCCGGGTTCGATTTCCGATAAATCATAATCATATCATACAATATCATATGTCCGTGTCTTCTCTGGACGGTTTGGCATGCCACCAGAATATATTTGCCCAACGCATTTCACGCAAAAAGTATGCTGTTCAGAGTCGACGTTACACTATAGGTCCCATGTGCCTGTGTACAATCAACTGTGTACAAGCAACACAGGCATATGTATGCGCAAGAGGAAAAACAAACCTGCAAAGTCTATGTAACGAGGAAGAAGAAGAAGAATATAAAATATTTAAGTGAGAAACAATAAGTAATTAATGTATAATTTAGGATGCTTCCTGAAACTTTCGAATATCTATTATTGGATCCAAACTACAAAGGAAAGCAGGAGAAAAACCAATAATTTCTCTATGCAAACAATGCTTGTTGATGTTGGAGATTAGCTACTCCAGATTCTTTCAGATAACAAATGAACACAAAGTGCTTACTAAGCATAAAGTTTTACTAAATGCGGTTTACACCAGCCGATAGAATCAGGCTATTTTTTGTTGACATATAGTAGACAACAAAAACAGAATGATGCTTATGTTGATTTGTGTGTGATTAAATAAAAAATAACTTTAATATTTTTATTTCTTAATGCTCAGGTCGATTTCTGAACAATTTGGTGTCGGTAGAAGTACTTCAATATATATTACAAGATGTATTGTAAGGGTAATTGTTGAACTGGCGCCTATTGTAATAAAGTGACCCACAAATGAACGAGTTGACCAAGTATGGGCTGGATTTGAAACTATCAGTGGATTCTTATAGTTATTGATGCTATTGGTGGCACATCAACATTCCAGCTCTCTAACATTATCCAGAAGCATATGTTAACCGTAAAGGTCAACATTCAATACAACTTCAGTTAACATGCTTTTTGGCTGTAACATTAAAATATCTGATAGTTATATGCTCTCTTTACAATCTTCTTGTCATTACCATTTACAATTTTCATGGTTTACGAAAAATAACTTGCGAATATTTCAATCTTGTGACTTAATAATAAAGTCACAAAACATTGTTGTTCTTGACCGAGAGAAGCAAAAATATAGCAACAACAAGAAGACTGTAAGAAAAATAGAGTATTATCGGGAATTTTAGTATTATTTTCATTCAATTTTATCTAATATATATTGATTTGCATGTTTTGTTTTTGCAGACTACCTGTGATCATGCTTGTCAATTTACACATTCTTATGTTGGACATGTAGAATCTGTATACGATTAACGAGTTTTTCGTCAGTCGGAAGTACAATCCTATCTTGGAGATAAGTCAAAATTTCCACAAGACTGTCATTTAATTGGAGATTTAGCTTATAAACTACTGAACATTTATTAATACTATATCGAGACAATGGCCACATGACAAAGCATCAACGAAATTACAATTTTTTCATGCATCAGCAAGAATATCTATAGAAAGAGCTTTTAGACTATCAAAAGGACGTTTTCGAAGTCTCCTTACAACACTTGTGATAGATAAACTTAATTCCAATGCATATTCTTGCCTGCCGTATATTACAAATTATTCAGTGGTGTGCAAAAGTTCTTGGCCAAATTCATTTTCGGCAATATATTACAAATAGAAAGAGCAAGTGACTTGTAACTATAGGTAGATATAAATCTGTGATAATATTCAGAAAGTAGCATTCGTATCTTCCAAAGTTAACCTATTAAAAGTGTGTTTACAAACATACTTTCAATAAGTTACAGTTCAAAAGTTGTTGGCCATTGTGTTTATTACTTATGCCACGCTTTTACTGAATGCTTATTACTTTATTTCCCAAAGAGTAGTCGATCAATAGACATCAGAGTATTAACATGGCATGAAAGACGCAGCAACAAACCCGCGAAAGAATTATTAGCTTGTCATGAAGTGATAAAGTATCTCGTGATATTATAGAGTTATTAGGAATTATGTAGTCGACTATATGATGTGAGTCGACTGTTAACAATATACTAGCTAAGTATCGCGCTGGATATGGTCTGAAAGATCGCCCGCGAAGTGGAAGATCGTGAAAAACAAAAAAAAATAGACCGCGTGATTGAAGTTAATTGCTAATCCGCGGAAAACAGCAAATGATATTGTTTGTGAATTCCACGATAAAAACCTCGCCAATGTTAACCGCTATCGTTACCGTTACAAGACGTTTACGTGATGTTGGATTGTTTGGGCGTATCGGCGTTAAGAAGCCTTTATGCATATTCTTTAATTAGCAAGAAGAATCAAAAGGCCAGTTTACGGTTTGTCAAAGATCACATGAACTGGACAATGGAAGATTGGAGAAAGGCAGCATTTTCCGATGAATCAAAATTTAATTTGTTTGGAAGTGATGGAAGACGTCATATGCGACGTTCAGTTGGTACCAGAAATAATGTAAGATATGAAATTCCACCTCTGAAATATGGAGAAGGCAACGTGTTGGTGTGAAGTGTTTTTCCTGCTTATGGCATTGGCCATTAGTCAATATTGATGAAACTATGAATGCTGCGATATACAAGAATATCTTGGAGAAGAATTTTCCACCAAATGCAAAATGCCAAGAAACTGGATATTTCAACACGATAACGACCCGAAGTACACCTCAAGTCTTGTAAAGAGTTAGCGCACGACTAAACAACTGTAAGTTTTAACTTGGCCATCGCAGTCTCCGGACCTCAACCCCATCGAGCATTTGTGGGATGAACTAGCGAGCTGAGTTAAAGTTCATAAGCATTCGAATAAGACAGTTACTCGAGCATTTGACGGAAGAGTGAAATAATATACCGATGAGTGTGTTACGTCCTGGAAGAGGATGTACGCAACAAACATCGCTTACTCGCACACTCGCGAGGCCTAAATGTACTGATAGGTCTGCAGATCAGGTCAAGGTCCGGAGAAGTCCATTTACTCCGATCGCAGAACGTACGTTAGGTGGTCCTTTANGAACTTAATCTCTATACCTGGGATAGGACCATATGAGAGTGTTGAAAGGGGAATTCAGATTTAAATAATTGAAGGGAAATGAATAAATAATTTTAACAACTTGGTTAAATTTAGGGCATTTTGAATAAAACAGTTTATTAATTATATTAATAACATAATTTGGTTCTCACATGGATTAATTATAGTGGTAAAATGATGAGAAAAGTCATTGTAAAATATACAATATTTAAAAGATGAAAGGGTTAGCTAAAGTTAAACAATGAGATATATGGGTTAATATTAAACAAACTTTTATAAATCAGCATTATTGGAATAATGCAAATACAAGATGAAGATTAAAGTAAGATTAAGTAAAAAAGTAATCCGTGTAACTTAATATAATACAATCGGACTTAACGTAACAAGAATGTTTAACGTATCGGTACGGCGAGAAAAACATCATTATATAATACAAGGAAGATAATAATTACGCAGTGTATGTGTGTGTTTTGAGGAGTGAAGTGGGATTGGATTGAAATGATTAAAAGTCATGTTTAAATATGAAATAGAGACTTACGATTTGGGTGAATCAACTGTGGTGAATAGTACGTAGAACATGGGTTCGTTGATCGTGGTGTACCGGATTTATAGGATCCCGGAATACCGAGAAAAATAGTTCACTTCAGAGATCCCGACTTGCACAGCGAGTTGTTCGGCAGCAGAAGACGAAGTCGTGGCGGAAGCCGTAATGGCACGAACGCAAAAGATGTTGAAAACGATAATACACGACAGTAGTCAAACGGGCAAAGAGAAAGCGTGAGAGTGTGATCCCGAAAACACAAGTGATAGGCGTGACGTAGCGACGCGACAGAAATCGACAAAAAAGTGAAGTGGTAAAAAGGCGAAAAGGGCTTATATAGAGAAAATTTTTGGGGGTGGCGGATGACGTATGCCAATGTGAGGAGTTTTCGTGTAAACTGGAAACAGATATGGTGATTAACAAACGGATGAAATCACGGATGCGTTGAGAAACTCATGACCTAATTAATGGCGTATAATCACATTTCCATGATAACGCTTATCCAAATAACGCCTATCTCTTGATAATTAAGAGAATCTGTTAATCCCATTGTCCCCAGAAGATAATGAGACTATGCGCTTTGTGAAAAGGCGGAAGCGATTACAGATATGTTGGGAAAACCACGGCGCGCTTAATCGGCGAATCATCGTGATTTTATCCTCTTCATGATAACGCTT